TAGGTTAAAAAAAAGGAGTTTTAGGGGATTTTTGAGGCGTTTTCTTATAGCTCAAGAAATTTAGGTCTTGAAAAAATTGAAATTCCAAAAATCTTGTGATTTTTTTGTCACCTGTAGAAAACATTCCACGTACGGCCGTATGTCATTATTTTATTATGAAAAATCCGTCCTAACTAGAAAACGGTTGATCCCTTTTCTAGCGAGAAATAAAGGCTCATAGTTAGTTTGAAAGTCTTGTCTAGAACCGAGTTATCATCATTTTCGAGAAAAAAATTTCCCCATTTTCTTTTAAAAAACCCTTCTAGTTAGAGAACGCTTCACCCCCCTGCGAAAAATTTTTTTCTGGTCAATAGGTCCTAAAGTGTCAGCGAAGTCTCATCAAAATTTGAATTTTTTTCGGGGGAATAAGAGAAAACGTTCTTAACGTCATTTACTATATTTTTTGAAGGGAGTTCGAAAATCTTGTCTAAAACCGAGTTATCATCATTTCAAGACAATTTTCCTCAGAAAATCCATAAGAAGAACTCAAATCTTGACACCTTCTAATTGGCACCTTCACCTCAGCTTTTCACCTCGATTTCTCAGTAACTGAGTTCGAAAAAAGACCCACCTAATCATGAATTTGGGATGACACACCGAGGACAATCACGAGAATATTATGAATAATGGATAGGGCGAAAAAAAAGTTATATGGTTTCCGTTAGGAAAATACACGAATGGACTGCAAAAAGAGAAGTTAAATGGCTCGCAATTTGCCTCCTGAAAAGGGGAGAAGGTTCCGCATTTGTGTGTTGCCCTCTGCAGTTCCGCAATATCCCCCCCAATGAATAGCCGACATTTTCTATTGAGCATAATCGAATTATGAAAAACATGTTTCGGATCAATCAAATCAGGATGGCGCGGTATTTTGATTCCGGTTTGGATTTTTGAAATTGAGAAAACGTTCTTGTAGCCTTCTTGTTGAAACGGAATCTGTGCCATGATTTTCCGGACCGTGATAAATTTGCAAAAATGCTCATGGGATCGAACCCGAGACCTCTTGTCTCTCAGTCAAACTCACAACCACCTGCTCTACTTGATTTTATATGGAAAAATTTAATTTTTGTGTCATTTTCATTGCAATAGGTTCAGGTAACATCAGAAAGCCCCTTTGATTCTGCAAAAATACTCATGAGATCGAACCCGCGACCCTTGTTCCTTAGTCAAGCTCACAACCAGTTGAGCCAAACCTTTTTGATCCGAAAGAATTGAAAAAAGCCTAAATCGACCCCCCTTTTTTGAAAATTCTGCAAAAACGCTCATGGGATTGAACCCGAGACCTCTTGTCCCTCAGTCAAACTCACAACCAACTGCTCTACTTGATTTCGAGTGTAGAAATTGTGTTTTTTGTGTCGTTTGCATTGCAAGAGGTTTAATGAACATCAGAAAGACTCCTTGATTTTGCAAAAATGCTCATGAGATCGAACCCGCGACCTCTTTTTCGTAGTCAAGCTCACATCCAACTGCTCTATCTGATCTTATATGAAGAAGTATAACTTTTGTGTCATTTTTATCGCAAGAAGTTTAATGAGCATCAGAAAGCCTCCTTAATTTTGCAAAAACACTCATGAGATCGAACCTGCGACCTCTTGTGTGATAGTCAAGCTCACAACCAGTTGAGCTACACCTTCATCATCTGAATAAACTGTGAAAGAAGCTTAAACAAACCTTTTTTGATGATTCTGCAAAAATGCCCATGAGATTGAACCCGCGACCTCTTGTTTGACAGTCCAGAGATTCTCAAAGTCTTCTTGATCATAACGATATTGGCAAAAAACCTCGAACCTCCGTGGGGATTGATCTAGTGACCTCTGGAGCGAAGCAACGGACTGCAATACTCCTTTTGAACAGACCTTATAGATCATCTTTACGCCTGTAATTCTGAAAAACATCCTACTTCTTTCCCACTTTTCGAAAGTCTTCCAAAACTATTACAGGCTTGAAACATCTTTTAAATATCAAAAAAAAATCAAAGAGATCACTTTTTTTCCGATATTGACACAGTACAAGTACATGAGCACACGAAACGCGTTACGATCTTTCTTTTTTTTCCATTTTTTTTTTGATCTCATTTTTAAGTTTTCTGCAATTTTTTTGGACTTGCTAGATCGGATAAAATGAGAAAATTTTGAGAAAAAAAAAGGAAAATTGTTTTTTTTGTGTTTCATCTCGAATTTATATGCTCTGGTCCCTTTTGTAAAGGCTACGAGCATTACATTTGTAAATTTGATTAAAAAAAACCATTTTGTGGGCTTTATGATGACGGAGCGCGTAAACCGGTATAAGGTCGGGCGCACTCTCAAAAAAAGTAACCGCTCTGCAGCCGCGACGCGTTGAACCATTCCCAGTGCGGCCAAAATTTTTAGAGTAAATAAAAATTCACTATAAATTGAAAATGATGGAAAATCAGATGAAACTGAATTTTTATCAGATTTTTCAGAAACTGTCTCATTCGGAATGACTTAGATTTTTATAAAAATAATCATTTTCTGGCGTTTTTTTGATGACGGAGTGCGTAAACCGGTATAAGGTCGGGCGCACTTTCAAAAGTAACCGTCTCGCAGCCGCGACGAGACGATTACTTTTGAAAGTGGGATGTTTTTAAAAGACGATCCTTTTTCTGCGGTGTCCCATGTCAGAGCGCGTAAACTGCTTGAGGTCGGGCGCACTTTCCGAAGTGACCGCTCTGCAATTTTATCAGATTTTTCAAAAACTGATCGCTTTTGGATTGAGTTGGATACTTTTAAAACACGATCATTCTATTAGATATCTGATGACAGAGCGCGTAAACCGTTACGAGGTCGGGCGCACTTTCAAAAGTCAGCAATTTTATCAGTTTTTTTTTCCTGCTTATCCTCAGATCATCTATTTTTGCTCAAGTTTTTACACTTTCCGAAATTCTCACAAACTCCTCAAAAATGTAAGAAAAAACCCTTGTTTTCCCCCAAAACATGCCCATTTATCCTTTTCCAACACCACATGTTGTTTTCTCTCTTTTCTTTTTTCAAAAAAAAAAAATGCCTTGGAAAAAATTGAAACCTAACGATTATCAACACGTCTCCCGTTCATCAATAGCGGTAATTTCCCGAAGGGAAAATAATATTGACCGAAAAAGGAAAAAATTCCCACGCCTTCCTAGGCCACGCCCACAATTCGTCGGCCTTTCGTGTTCACTTTTCCGCCCCCCAAATCCGAACGCTTTCGATTGGAATTTTCCCTTTTTTTTTGTATTTTGGAACGGTTTTTAATTGGATTTTCGTGTTTTTTAGTTCCTTGTTTGGTCTTTCATTCAAGTTTTTAATAAAAAATCGATTTTTGTTCTTTTTTTGAGTCATTTTTCGTTTTTAAGTCGATTTTCTATTACTATTGAAACCTTAATATTGTTTTAAAACTTTATTTTTCGGGTATTTTTTCGATTTTTTTGTTGATTTTTGTGGTTTTTTTGGAGTCATTTTTCCTTTTTAAGTCGCTTTTCTTAAATCATTAACACCCTAATATTTTGTTTTCACACGATTTTTCATTAATAAAACCTATTTTTCGGTTTTTTTTTTCGAGTTCTTGTTGATTTTTGATGCTATTTACGCTGTTCTTATGATGAAAATTCCTTTTTTTGTCTTTTTTTGAACCTTTTTTTTAAAGTTGCAAACCTTTTTTTGCCTATTTTCTGCCGTTTTCAAAAAGATTTTTCAGGAAAAATCCCGTTTTTAGTTGATTTTTTTCGTATTTCAATGGAATTTTTATCCGTTTCATACAGTTATAATCCGATTTCCATGACATTTAGTTCCTCTTCCGATTTTTGCTCTCAGTTTTTTGTCGAACAAAACTTTCCATATTTGTTAAATGTTGCATAACTTTACGGTTTCAGGAAGCTTATTTTAAAAAAAAATTTAAAAAAACATTTATACGATAACATTTTGGTTATTTCTTCTGACTCTTCAATTTAAAAAAATAGTGTTTAAATTAATTTTGAATAACTAAAACAAATTTTCCAACGAAAAAAATGAAAAATCTGAAAAATCTCTCTTTTTTCTGCATCATAACCCATTGGAAATTCATTTTTTCCTACAATTTTAATCGGATTTCAGCAAATTCTAGTTCCTTTTCTTGTTTTTACTGCTCTCGAATTTTTCGTTTTGTTCTCTGGTTCTGAAACTTGATTATCAGCATCAAAGGTTGAATCATGAGAGGAATTACTCACTTTTTTGGGTTTTTCTCAAAGAGCGAACACTTTTTCGAATTTTGGAAGCATTTGGCTTATGAAAATGCAAATTTTGCTATTATTTCGATGCTTCGAGTTCGAAGAATGAGGCATATGGGGGAAGTGTGATGTCATTTCCTTCTTGGGTGGCTGAAAAATTGAATTCAAACTTTTTCTTTTTCATTTTCCTGATGAAAAATGAAAAAAATTATAACTTTAATCCATTTAAATAAAAGACCTGATAACGTATATTTTTCCTTCAACTTCTAAAAAGCTCAAATTGAAGAAAAATACTAGAGCAAGGTCTGAAAAAACGACATTTTTATAGTATATTTTACCTCGAAAGTTCATTTTTCCGCCGGAATGTGCAAAAATAGTTTAAAATAACTACAACCAGCTTTTTTTCCGAACTTTCCATCATCATAACCTTTTTTTCGTTTTTTTCTAACCCCTTATCAGGCTTTCCAAAAAAATTTAAAAATCTGAAACAGGAGAACGATTTATTCATCTTTTTGCAGTTTAAAAAAAGGTTTGTGTTTTTTTGACTAGTTTTTTTAAGGCTAAATTAAACGTTTCTCATCCAATTTTTCTTCTTTTTGTTTAATAATTTTTTCCTTTCTGAACCTTGTTTTGAAATTTCTAGTTCATTAAAGCTTTTTTTCGTCCAATTTGCCTTTGATTTTCTCGCTTTTTCCAGTTTTCATCGCGAAAAAATCGCCTTTTTCCCTCTCAAACTCGGATTTTTTTTAGCAATAGGGCGCAGATGGACAGCCAGCAATGGATGGCGTGCGCCATCCTGGCCCTCGTCATAATTGGCTGCTTCGGCAACACTCTTTCCCTCATTCTCTTCAGCCGACCACACATGCGGTCATCTTCGGTCAGTCCATCTTCTGCTCGAACTTTACAGATTTTTGGGAATTTTTGAAAAATTCTCTGCAATGATCTGTTAACAGTACCTTTTGGTGCCTCTCACCCTCAAAAAAAAAAATGTTTCTAATCGATTTTTAAAATGTGCTCCGGTCAGTTCCTCTTCTGATCGAACTTTACAGATATTCGGTAAAATTTTGAAAAAATCTTAGAGAGAATCAGAATTTCCTGGTCATTTGAGTGTGGGAAAAATCAATTAAAGGCATACAATGAGATTTTAAGCTTTTTTTTTATTTTGAGACATTTTTCACCGAATAAATCGATTCGAGGCAACTTTTACCTTTGAAAAAAAAAATTTCCCGGAAAAATTTTGCAGCAGAAGATTACGTCAATAATGCGCTCCAAGGACAATGCCTTTGTGGGGTTTTAAATACGATTTCGTGACTTTTAAAGCTTCCTCATTGTACTTTTTTTATTTTTTGAGCTTAAAATTGTCCTATTTCACTATGATATTGGGTTTGAACTGATTGTTTCATTTTGAAAAACCGAAAAAGTTCAATTTTTACGTGTTTCTTTCTGATACCAAAATAACAAGTTCCCTTCAATGTTCCCTATAATTTTGGCTTTTTCTTAAACGTCAGCCGAATAATTCTCTGGTCTAGACGCGCAAATTATTTGTTGCAAAATTCTTCCAATTTTGGATTTTGCGTATATATTTATGTCAAAATTGGCTGTCTTAAGAGCGTAAGGAAGCCCTTAAGGGGTTCTAGTAGATGGCCCTCTAGAGACGAATTTACCTCCCCCTATAGGGGCCACACAAAAACCTACGAAAGTTGACCCTCTAGGGGAGCATGCTAGTGATCCCTATGCGTCTTTTTTAACCTTCAAATCAAAAAAAAAAATCAAAAGACCACTCTAGGGACCACTCAAACTTTTGTGGCTCAAGGGTCAGATTCTAAACCCCTATAGGGACCACCTAAAATCAACCCTCCTCGGAGCACTTTTTGGCCACTATAGGGGCCGTTTTTTCCCCTTCTAACGCCTTTAGGGGCCACTTGGACCCTCTAAAGTCTCTAGAAATGAAATCTTGATGAAAATAAGTTTCAGTAGGAAAATGAAAGGGCAAAAGAATGGTTCAAACCGTTTCTGTGGACATATATCTTCCTAACTGAAAATTGTCTCGACACGAAAAGTTACTGTAGTTTTCAGTATTTTTTGTCTCAAAATCTAGTTTTTTTCATCGAAAATAAGAAATACCATGACATTTCCTCGGTTCCGAATAACAAAACTCCAATTTTCCTCCATTTCGAAAGGTCAAAACTACAAAAAAACAAGAGCCGGGGAAATGTCTTGATGGTCACGCAAATCATGGGAATAATTAACCGTCTAGCCAAATGATTTTGAACCCTTTTTTGGTCGGAAAATGTCACGCAATCCATTCAAAACAATGCAAATGGAGGCGTTGGGGAAATTTTTTTGGAAAAAAATGGGAAATTTTTTTAATTTTTTTATCATAGATCTTTATTATAATATGATAACAGGGAGTTTGAATAAAATGAATGAAAAAAAATTTTTTTCTATAAAAAAGGTTCTGACACGAAAATAATGACAGGAGGTTCGAAATTATTAAAAAATGAAGAAAAATCTGTTATTTCAAAATTAAAAAGCCCCTTTTCTGAGATTTTTAATCGATTTTTCAATTAATCCATTTGGAAACCTAATAAAGTCAAAATTAAAAAAAATTTGGAAAAAAGTGGAATTTTTTTTTGAAGAGATTTCTGAAAATTCGGGCCCTTTTTTGAATTTTCTGTCTTCCGGGATCTTTTTTTGAACATTTTTATACAAAGAAATCCAAGTTTTTTGAAAATCACCATGAAGAAGGAACTGAGGAGCACTTGAGGAGCAAAAAAAGTTCAGTGGATAATGAGAAGGAACGTCGCAAACAAGGCCAATTAAAAGGGAACGCGGAACTGAGAAAATCCCCCTGAACTTCGACTAATTTCATCTTTTCTGCGTCTTTGAAAAAGGTCCTGAAACGAAAATTAGGCTTCTACAGTAACCTGGACATTTTTGAAGGTAAAAATGAGAGAGCAAGATTATATAAAAAATAGTAGACTTCATTTTTTTTGGTCTCAAAACGAAAATAAAACCTTACAGTAACCTGGACCTTTTAAACGGTTATATAAGTAGTAAAAAAAGTAATTGAAACGTTTCACGGTTATTTTTGTCCGGAAAAAGGTCCTGAAGCAAAAAAATGAGATCCTACAGTAATTTGGAAAAAAATGTCAGTAACCCTTATTTCGTATCAAAAAGGTCCTGGAACGAAAAATAGGGTCTTACAGTAGCCTGGAAAGTTTTTTTCGGGATTAAATTACTCCAAAAAAATAGGAACTTCAATAGGTTAGTAAAAATAATTCGAAAAATAAATAAACGGCTACTTAGTCTCGAAAAAAAGGTCCTGACACGAAAATGAGGTCTAAAAAGTAACCTGGAATAATTTAAGAAGTTAAATAACGGAAAAAAAGAAAACAATAATTTTTATTCAATTCGAATTAAAAAGGTCCTGAAAGGAAAAATCAGGTCTTACAGTAACCTGGAAAGTTCTTTTGGAATGAAATTACCCAAAAAAGGGGAAAATCAATAAAAAATCAAAAAACATAAGTCCTACAGTAACCTAGACCATTGAAAAATTCAAAGCACGGTTACTTAGCTTCAAAAAAGGTCCTGACACGAAAATAAGGTCCTACAGTAACAAGAGAATGAAAAAAGCCTGACTAATAATGAAATTTCCAGGTGAACGTTTTGCTATGTGCCTTATCATTCGTCGACCTCACACTTTTGCTCCTTTCGATCCCGACTTTCGTCATTTCCAACCTCGACCTTTGGTTCGTTTTACATATTTTTTCTCAAGTTTTATAAATTATAAATCATTTTTTCATCGAAAATTTCCAGACCTTGACCTCGAAACTCATTGCAAAATGCAAAAAAGGTTGTATCCTTGAAATTCGTATTTATTTTTCAGGGAAGACCAAAGGAATCAAGTGACATATATGGCATATGTTCTGAAACTGGTCTATCCAGTCAATCTGACGATGCAGACGTGTAGCGTCTACATTATGGTTTTCATCACCTTGGAACGGTGGATCGCCGTTTGTCGGCCTTTACAGGTTCCTTCTTTTATTTATAGGTTACGGTAGGTTGCAGTTGTGCACACACCGAAAGTCGTTTTTAAACTATCTAGCAACGCAACAGTGGTCACTATAGAAGCTAGGGAGAAGAAAGCTTTTTAAATTTATATCATAGTGGTCCCTAAAGGGATGAGGCCTTGAGTGGTCCCTTTAGTGGTCCTTTAACTTTTTTGTCTTTTTTCAAAGTTCAAAAGAGGTAAAGGGAGCCCTAGTCACTAACTAAGACCCCTAGAGGGGCCACTTTTGCAAGCTTTAGTGTCCCCTAAAGGGGATCCTGTAAAAGCATCCAAAATTCGGTTCGCCAATGAAGTAATGCTAACGCGGTTGGAATACTCTTCCCAACATTGGTATTTCTCTTATAACAATATTGCAACTGTAAACTGATGTAACGAAATTTTTTGATTTTTTTTGAGGTTTGAACAGTGTTTCAATGGTACTAGGGTCACAAAACTGGAAATTCGTTCAGAAAAAGGGGAATATTCATAGGAAGCTAATTTTCGACGTTTTCCGGGGTTTTCATAGTTTTTCGATCGAAAAGAAAAAAAAATTGAAAAAGAGTATTTCCAGGTACGGGTCTGGTGTACGCCGCGGAAGTCCCGACTCGCAATTTTGATCATTTTTATTTCGGCCTGCGTTTATAATTTCGTCCGGTTTTTCGAGTACCGATTCGTGTGAGTTTTTCGGTTTTTTCAAGTTGAAAAATCATAAAAATTATAAAAAACTGATTTTTTTTTTCAGAAGAACAGACACGGGAGCCGTTTATGAGAAGTGGCTGAGGGATCCGGCAAATTATCGGTAAGTTTAAAAATTATTAAAAAAAAACCTTTTTCAGGGTTTCTACTTTAATGATAGAGCTTAGAAAAGCCAAAGTGGCCCCTAGAGGGGTCGGGGGAAAAAGACCTTATAGGGGTAAAAAAAAAGCTCTTTATAGTAGTTATACTGGAGTTTAGGCTGTGGCCTATAAGAAAATGAAGCCTAAGTGGTTCCTTCAGGGTTTATTTTTTATTTTCCTGTCCTACACAGGCCCCTAAGGTTGCCACTCTAGGGACCACTCTGGGGTTTTGAAAATCTGAAAAAAATTTTTGAAGAAAAATGGTAATTTTATTGATTTTTAATGAATAATTTGATACAGAAAGGTCGAAAAAATAAAATTTTTAAGTTGAAAAAAAAATGATTAAAAACCTGAAAAAAGGACAAAAGGTAACATTACTATTTTTAGAAGTGAAATGATGCCCAAAAAAATAGCCGACAAAAAAATTTTTCCAGCTTAATTTGAGTTTTAACGGTGTGAACCACAATTCCTACTAATTATTTCTAAAATTTATTCTTCCATTTAAATATAAGCGTAGAAACGGGAAAGTGATGAAAAAAATTTAATTTTTTTGCAAAAGAATTCAACTTTTGTTTAGAAATAGAAACGGGAAAGTCATGGACCATAAAAATTTTTTTTTGCAAAAAAATTTTTTTTCTTTAGGTGGTACTACGTCGGTTACTACACGATCCTGTACATTTTGACGCATTTTTTGGTTCCTTTCACTTTGATGGCTTTGGGCAATGGTCACGTTATCGTCGCCATGTGTCAGAGGAGCCGGACGAGGCATATGCTCACCAGACAGGTTCTTTTTGAAGCAATATTTTTGGGGAAAATTTCGGGACAGTGAGAATTTACGGCATTGCTGTACTTAATTTAAGTATTTTGATATATTTTTGTACATATCTATTGATTTTTCGAATTAGAAGGTAAAGTCAAAAATCCGTTTTTTTTTTTTGAGCTTAATCGAGAATTTTTTGTTTTTTTGAGAAATTCACCACAACTAGCCGATTGTTTCAAAAATTTTTATTTAATATATTTTGAAAAATAGGTTGAAACTGTGAAGAAATATAAAAAAATATTAAGTCGAAAAATCATTTTTTTACTTGATTCGATTTTTTTATTGTAGAAAAACTGATTTTTTTGGATAATATTAAGATAAATCAGAGAAAAAAATGTGACTTTTTCAACGTTTTTATAACGTAAAATATTGCACTAAAAAAATCTCAAAAATTGGGTTTTTCAAGAAAAAGTTTTTGCTTATAATTTAAATGACTTCTCTCTTTCAAAAAGTTTTTTTATATAAATTCATTTTCTCATGAATTTTCGATAGAAAGCATTTGATTACAGCAACAACGAGAACAGTCGACTACAGTAATGTTACTTATCGTAACATTCGTTTTTGCGTTTTGCAACACGTTGCCGTTCATTCTGAACGTCGTGGAAAGCATGTTTCCAGATTTTTTTGCGGATCCAGTTGGTTTTTTTTTTATTTCTATACTAATCTTGAGATTTTGCGAAATTTTCAGTAGTAGTTTTCCTTTTTGGAAGCTTTATTTCTTCTAAATTTCACTCTGAAAAAAGAAAGTTCGCAGAAAAAACTCAGATTTTTAACATAAAATAGCGATAAAACAATAGTTTTTCAAATGGTAACGAAAAATTGACCACTATAGGGACCACTTGAGCGTTCGGTGCTCAGATGTCAAACTCGGAACTCCTACAGGGACCACTTGAATTTTAGCCCTCTAGGGACTACTTTTTTGCCCCTCCAAGGGCTATTTTCCCCCTACTCTCTAGGGAACACTCAGACGTTTCTAGTAAACTTTGAACAAGAGATTTCATTTCACTTTTCTCAGAACTTGAAAGTTGTGTTTAAAACATGGAAAAAATTTGCTTTTTTTGTAAAAACTATGCCTGAAACCGTAAAGTTCGGTACAACCCGAAATTCGCTATAATAGCCATGGTCGCACTGGGAATGGCTCAAAACTACAAAATGCCTCCATTGCTTCCCGATGTCGCCCTGCGGAAACAGTTTTGGGTCGGGCAAGCCATGTTTTCATTTTTTGTAGAAAACCGCTGCTGATAGTCTAATAACCACAGATAAAACCCAAACTAATCTTTCTGGACGTCACAATTTTAAAATTTTTGTTGGGATTCCTTCTTTTCCTTTCGCAGTGCGACCATGGGTCTCCCAAACCCGAAAAACGATTGTAATGATTCAGAGCACATCCTACGTCGCCTACACCTTGAACGACTTGTCGAACTTGTTGGTGGTGCTGAACTCGGCGACGACGTTCATCGTCTACTTCTCGTTTTCGGAGAAGTATCGTCAAACTCTACTTTTCATTTTGAAGTTTGCCGGAGCCCAAAAAAGAGAAAAATTGGGAAATTTGTCAGAAACGGGTGTTGTGCGACGATTTCCGACTATAACAACTACACGGCGATGTCGCGTACCGCCTCGATGCGAATCTCGTCCGAGACGGCGATCCAGCGCCAGGGCAGCAAGATGAGCACCAGCAGGTTAGCCATTTTTTGCAATATCGCTTTTTTTCATTTTTAGCGTACTTTCCCGTTTCAAAGAATACATAATATCTTGCAAATTTCTATTCAAAACGTTATTTTTTCGCTTTCCATGTAGAGTGTATACACTGAGAAAATTTTTATGTGCCAGTACTTAAGTGGTCACTTAAACGTCACAACCCTAAAGTAGCTACTCAACATTTTCCCTGTTAAATTAATCATAAAAACCTCGGAAAGTTTTTAGTGGCCACTTTAGGGTTTTGACGTTTTACTGGCCAATATAGTAGTCGAATTAGTGACCCCTTAAGTGGCTAAAAATATGTGGCCCCTATAGAAGTACTACTAGACCGCTGAGAATACTATACTGGCTACTGAGACGTAGAAAATGGCTACTATAACGGTTTTTTTGATGGCCACTTTAGTGACCTTTCCAAGAAGCCCTTGAAGAACCTCTTAAGTGGCCACTAAAGCTCTTTCCGGATACTTTTATTGAGCTTTTTTTTCGTCAAAAACGAACTTTCCTTTTTTTTCTATCAATCTTACTTTCCGGTTTCAAATAATACATAAAAAACCTTTCGAGATTTTAGAGGGTTTGTAAACCTCGCTGTCGTTATGTAATTTTACAAATATTGAATATTTTGGAGCGAATTTGCTTTCTTAACTGTATTTTTTATGCCGTTCTTTAATTTTTTGAATTTTGATTTTTTCTGCTCATTTTTTAACTTTTGAGCCTCAAATTTCCTATTTTTGACATCTAGATGACTTTACCTTTTCTGGTGAAGTTCTTTTTATTGTATTCATCTTTTTTTTGATACTCATCTCTATTTTCGTTGTAAAATTTCTTTAAAAATGGCGAGAAAAATGATTTTTTTTTTGATTTTTTCTTTATTTTCATTTTTTGTAGAAAATCGCTGCTGATAGTCCAACAACCACAGGTAAAACCTCAAACTAATCTTTCTGGATGTCACGATTTTAAACTTTTTCTAATATTTTTCTTAGTTGGCCTGTTGGGATTCCTCCTTTTCTAACGGTTCGAATTGCATGAAATGGGAATTTTCGGGGTTTTTTGGGGGTTTTTGAGCTTTTGAAAGGAGAGAAAATGAGTCAAAAGGTCTCGATACGAACCAGCTTACTGTAACTAAAATTTAGCCGAAAATTAAAATTTTTCAAAGGTTCGCGAAGTTTATTGAGCTTCTGGTAGTGCTAAAGCTTCGAAGCTTAATAATTATTTTTTCAATCATTTTTTGCGCCAAAAATCAGCTACCGTAATCCTTTTCGCCTCAAGACCAGTTTGATGCTTTTCCCGTATTTTCACACCATTAAAGGCTCAAAAACTTTTTTTTTCCTTCTACTAAAACCAAAAATAACTTTCTGTTAGCAACCTAACATCATGGGACTTGGGATACTCCTGAAAAAAAAAATTTAAAATTTCCCAATTTTTCAGCCGATCATCCGACGTGCTTCTGAAACCGTTGTACATGCAGAAACGCACCGACCGCTGCTCGTCCGAGTACAACGAGAGAACTTTTAAGTACGTTTATAAACTGCGAACACTTTTTGATGATAAAAATCGAAAAAAGTTGTTTATTTCACTTCACGGTTTCAAATTTTCTTTTGAAAAATTTTCGATTTACGCCAAACTATTCTATAGAAGACTGATGAGTCCTTAATTTTGAGAAACATTCTGAGTACGTCTTTAAACTGCGAACACTTTCATTTGATGATGTATATCGAAAAAAATATAATTATTCCATTTTTTTCGGTTTCGCATTTCATTTGAAAAATGCCCTTTTTCGCTGAACATTACTCCATAATTCCTTGCGATAAGTTTCAGATAGTATTCAACTCTTTTTTTATTTAAGAAAAACACTTGAGTACGTTTTTTTAAACTACGAACACTTTCAATTAATGATAAAAAAATCGAAAAAAAGATGTTTATCTTACTTTTTACGGTTTCAAAATCGCTTTTAAAAAAATACTCGATTTTTTTGATCATATGATCAATAATTTGTTTAAAAAAATGAATAAATGATTTTATTTCAGACATCTAACTGCATTTGACGACTTGAAACATTCCAGAATAGGCGCACCTTCGAGCGAGAAACGAAAGAAGAAAAATAAGTGAGTTTGATAATTTTTGGTATTTTCTCAAAGAATAAAAAAAATTATTTTTCAGTTTGGAAGTTGAGAAAGGACTTTGATTATTATTTATTCTATAGAATTGGAAAAAAAAATAAAATGGATCACAATTAGAGAGTGCGGGAAAAGAGGAGTTTTAGGCACGTAAAGGAGAAGAGTTATGTCTGCGTCTCTCCGTTTGTCATACTCTCTAGCTTTTCTCAGTTTTTCGTTGATTTTTGCATTAGTAGAATATTTTTCAATAGGATCATTGCGTTTGAAGAATGAAAGAAACAAATTCCGTCTGAATCTCTCATTCTTCCATAACCTCTCACTTTTGGCAAGTCTCAAACTTTTTAAGATTAAAAATTGTAGAGTTTTGAAATAGTGTGGAGGAACAGGAGGGTCCCAGACACGCAGAAAATCTATTTTTTCGCTTTTTTCTTTCAATCAACCGCTAAATAGCCTTTTTTTTCATAAAATGCCACAATTTTGAACTTTATTGAAATAGTGTGGAAGAAGAGGAGAGTTCCAGACACGCAGAAAATCTATTTTTTCGCTTTTTCTTTTCAATCAACCGCTAAATAGCCTTTTTTTTCATAAAATGCCACAATTTTGAACTTTGTTGAAATAGTGTGGAAGAAGAGGAGAGTTCCAGACACGCAGAAAATCTAATTTCCTCTCAAATTTCTTCTTTTCTTTTCATTTTTGATCTTTGAACAGTCTTTTTCTCTTACAAACTAAAGTTTTTAGATTTTTTGAAATAGTGTGGAAAAAGAGGAGGGTTCCAGACGCTCAGAAAGTTTAGTTTTTTGCCTTTTTCGTTCAATTTCAACCTCTAAACACCTTTTTTTTCATAAGTCATTGAATTTTAAAATTTGTTGAAATAGTGTGGAAAAAGAGGAGAGTTCCAGACACGCAGAAATTCTAGTTTTTCGCTGTTTTCGTTCAATTTTCAACGTTGAGTAGTCTTTTTTTCATAAAATGCTAGAATTTTTGAACTTTGTTGAAATAGTGTGCAAGAAGAGGAGGGTCCCAGACAAACAGAAATTCTAATTTTCTCCCAATTTTCTTCTTTTCCTTTATTTTTAACCATTGAACAGTATTTTTCTCTTCCCAAATAAAGTTTTTAGATTTTTTGAAATAGTGTGGAAAAAGAGGAGGGTCCCAGACACGCAGAAATTCTAATTTTCTCTCAAATTTCTTCTTTTTCTTCATTTTTAATCTACCAAAATTATATTTTCTCAATTTTCAGGCTTTCTTCTTTGGACCGCTCGACTCCCCAGATAACGATAACGCCAAGTGAAGACTTGCCCAGCCAACCTTGACATTTTCCTTCACAAAAAATCGATTTTCTGTATATTTTCAAAGCTCAAAGCGACTTTACTGTTTCAGAAATATCCCCCCTCGCGTTGCGTTTTTCTCTTCATGTCAAATCCCAAGTAATTAATAATAATTTTTTCCCAATTCTATGTGTAAATTCCCCCGTCATTCAATGAATTCGCCGCCAATACGGAAAGTGCCATTTTATTGATTTTTTTGAAGATTTTTGGATTTTTTCGGGTTTGAAAAAAATACCTGCGTTTGTGTCATCTTGTAACATGTAACTGTGCTCTTTGTTTGAAAATATCGGTTCTTTTTCTCGATTTATCGCAATAAAAGTGCTTGATTTTAATAGATTTGACTCACAAGAAAAATTCTCTACTATTTCCGATGAAAACTTGATGATTTAGTGTCTACCTACTTAAAAACTCTAAAGTGGCCCCTATAGGGCTATCTTTAAGATCCCTTGAAGGCTTGCGTATATACATCCATTTTAAAATCGAGTGGATTTTTTGGGAGCCCCAGAACGATCCATATAGGGGCAACCTTAGGGTCCCGTTCAAATCCCTATAAAGGTCACTTAAGCTCGTCAAAGTGGCCCCTATAAAGGTCAAGTTAGTGGTCCCTGGAGGGCACATGCTAGTCGATTATTGTCAAAAGAGGACGAATTATTCAAGTTTGTATTTTTGAATTTTATATCAGAACTAAAAAGTTTAAAGACCCTATAGGGACCACTTGAGCTTTAGATGCTTCGAAACCACTATAGGGACCACTCTGGAAATCCCTTTTTTGTTATTTTTATCGTCTTCGCTCTAGAAATCATTTAGAAAAAGTTGGAACAGACTTTTCTGCTAAAAACGGTTCGTCGCTTCGAGACCTTGAAGAATCCTGTCATGCTCCTTTAAACTTGAAGGAGGTCTTGAGAGACCCCTAAAGTGGCCACTAGATCGACTACAAACCCGTGAAGTGGCCACTAATATCCAGACAGAATAATTAAAAAATCGATTACGAAGAAACCAGCGTATATGGTATAGTAGTCGATTCAAGGCGGACGCTGGAGGGGCGTGGCCTGTCTGCGCTCTCCACCAAACAAGTACTATCTCTTTTTATCGTGTCAGGACCCTTTTTTTGATCTAATGGTAAGCCGTGAATCAAAACTTTTTTGGCAAGTTAAAAAAGTTTATCCACAAGAAACAAGCTGACAATATGTACATCTGAGAAGGTCCAAAGACTATACAAGGGGTCCTAGACGATTTGAGTGGGGGGCTGGACGTCGAAATGGGCTTGACGGGCGTCGTCGACCAAGGCGGCGCCGACGAGTTCCGCCCGGACGCCCGCCGTCGACATCGAGTCCAGGCCGAGTTTGTTCATCTCCGAGAGAAGAAGCTTCTCGAGCTCGTACCCGAACTTGATCTGGAATCATGATTATTGAACGAACTTCAGGAAGACTTATAAATACTACAAACTTCACATTTTGACCTTGACTGACTAGTGAGAGGGGTTTCAATGGCCACTTTAGGGTTTTGACGTTTAGTGAGTAGTCTAAGTAGCTGCCCCTTAAGTGACTAGAGCTTAGTGTCCTCTTTAAAGTAGTCGAATTAGTGGTCTGTTAAGTGACTAGAGCTTAGTTTCTTCTTTAGAGTAGTCTAATTAGTGGCCCCTTAAGTGACTAGAGCTTAGTGTCCTCTTAAGGAGTCTAAATGGTACTAACAGATCACTAGTGGCCACTAAATAAAAACATTATTTATGTATCAATTTTTCGCTCCAAACACCTCTAGTGGCCCCTTAAGAGGTTCCTCAAGGACTAATTGGAGTGGCTTAGGATCTCCAGAGTGGTCCCTATAGGGAGAACCTTAGGCCCCCTCCAATGTGAAATTGAGAGACCCCTATAGGGTGTACTTGAGCTTTAGGGGCTAATGAGTCAGACCCTAAACATCTATCGGGACTACCTTAGTTTTTCCCTTATAGAAACCACATTTCCCCCTCACCCCTATAGGGACTACTCTGGAATCCCTAAGAGCCACCTCAAAGCATTACTTTGCCCTTCTTAGTGGCCACTATAGTAGTTTTAGAGGTCTAGTAGCACTAATTGAAATTCTGTGGCCCCTTCACCCATTTAGTGGCCTCTATTTCGACTACTGAAACCTAAGGACCCTAAAAAACCCCAAAACCCTATAGAGGCCACTGGAAATTTCCCCTTTCCTCACCTGATTCGCCAAAAAAGCCGACAAAACGAGCCAGGCTTCGTTGGTGATGGGGCAGAGGGATTTTGTGTGGGGATCTTCTGAAAATCTTCCTTTTTCTTCTAAAAATCAGTCGTTTCAACCTGAACCACGACGACTGTTGGTACACGAGGAACAGTAGGACTCTTCCTTGAGCGACTGCATCTGCGACTCGGAGAAGCGCGACTGAAGGGGTCGCGCGACTCGTCGCCGACTTTGCGGCGTCGCCAGCGAGCTCGACGTGCACGAGGTGCACTGGGCTGACTACAAAAAGAAGAAGTTTACCTCAGAAAAAGCCATTAAGGGCTTCTGCGCTCCAGTGATAATTAGAATGCTTTCTCGGACATTGCTATCGCGAAACGTTCCGGACGTTCCTGTGCGATTCTAGGGATCACTTAAGGGTTCTGACATTGTTCCGGACGTTTCTGGGCGATTCTAGGGATCATTAAAGGATTCTGACATTGCTTCGGATGTTTCTGGACGATTCTAGGGATCACTTAAGGGTTCTGACATTGCACCGGACGTTTCAAGGGACCACTTAAGAGTTCTGCCATTGCTCCGGACGTTTCTGGGCAATTCTAGGGATCATTTAAGGGTTCTGACATTGTTCCGGACGTTTCTGGGCGATTCTAGGGATCATTAAAGGATTCTGACATTGCTTCGGATGTTTCTGGACGATTCTAGGGATCACTTAAGGGTTCTGACATTGCACCGGACGTATCAAGGGACCACTTAAGAGTTCTGACATTGCTCCGGACGTTTCTGGGCAATTCTAGGGATCACTTTAAGGGTTCTGACATTGTTCCGGACGTTTCTGGGCGATTCTAGGGATCATTAAAGGATTCTGACATTGCTTCGGATGTTTCTGGACGATTCTAGGGATCACTTAAGGGTTCTGACATTGCACCGGACGTTTCAAGGGACCACTTAAGAGTTCTGCCATTGCTCCGGACGTTTCTGGGCAATTCTAGGGATCATTTAAGGGTTCTGACATTGTTCCGGACGTTTCTGGGCGATTCTAGGGATCATTAAAGGATTCTGACATTGCTTCGGATGTTTCTGGACGATTCTAGGGATCACTTAAGGGTTCTGACATTGCACCGGACGTTTCAAGGGACCACTTAAGAGTTCTGCCATTGCTCCGGACGTTTCTGGGCAATTCTAGGGATCATTTAAGGGTTCTGACATTGTTCCGGACGTTTCTGGGCGATTCTAGGGATCATTAAAGGATTCTGACATTGCTTCGGATGTTTCTGGACGATTCTAGGGATCACTTAAGGGTTCTGACATTGCACCGGACGTTTCAAGGGACCACTTAAGAGTTCTGACATTGCTCCGGACGTTTCTGGGCAATTCTAGGGATCACTTTAAGGGTTCTGACATTGTTCCGGACGTTTCTGGGCGATTCTAGGGATCATTAAAGGATTCTGACATTGCTTCGGATGTTTCTGGACGATTCTAGGGATCACTTAAGGGTTCTGACATTGCACCGGACGTTTCAAGGGACCACTTAAGAGTTCTGCCATTGCTCCGGACGTTTCTGGGCAATTCTAGGGATCATTTAAGGGTTCTGACATTGTTCCGGACGTTTCTGGGCGATTCTAGGGATCATTAAAGGATTCTGACATTGCTTCGGATGTTTCTGGACGATTCTAGGGATCACTTAAGGGTTCTGACATTGCACCGGACGTATCAAGGGACCACTTAAGAGTTCTGACATTGCTCCGGACGTTTCTGGGCAATTCTAGGGATCACTTAAGGGTTCTGACATTGTTCCGGACGTTTCTGGGCGATTCTAGGGATCATTAAAGGATTCTGACATTGCTTCGGATGTTTCTGGACGATTCTAGGGATCACTTAAGGGTTCTGACATTGCACCGGACGTTTCAAGGGACCACTTAAGAGTTCTGCCATTGCTCCGGACGTTTCTGGGCAATTCTAGGGATCATTTAAGGGTTCTGACATTGTTCCGGACGTTTCTGGGCGATTCTAGGGATCACTTAAGAGTGCTGAGGCTACTAAAGTGGTCACTAGCAATGCCCCTGCGTACCGTTCGCGTTACCAAGGTCCGAAAAGTGAGACAGATTTTTTTTAAATTTTTCAAGCGCCTGTTTTTTCTCAACTGAATGTGCCCTAGGTACCTTTTCCCCATATGTAAAGTTTCAAAAAGACTATGAATATCCAATTTTTTCTCCGTCACTGCGTCAGAATTTCCCAAAAACGTGCCCTTTTTGAGATTATTCAATTTTCGGGAAAGCGCATTCCGATGAAAAATTCATGGGCTTTTTCTGGAGCTTTTTCCGAGGTTAAAAGTTGAGTTTTTTTTTGTAATGAAACAGAAAAATCGTGATGAAATTCTCTGGAAAAATTCCAAAATTTAAAAATTCACCCATTCTCAAGAACCCTAGAGTGGTCCCTATAGGGGTAATACGAAGGATCCCTGAAGGTTCTTCTCTCTAGGGACCCCTTCTGCAAACTTAAGTGGCCCCTATAGGGAAGCATGCCATTCTTTGTTTTGAACGAAGCATTTCTATGCGAAACACCTAAGCTTCACCCCTATAGGGACCACTTTTTGGTCTCCTCTTCTCCCTAAGCCCCATAGGGACCACTCTGGCGTTCCATTACTCAGTAATTTCAACATAAAACTTCAATAATCTCTCTGAAATCCAGAAAAAAAAAAGCTTTTTTTGACCCCTCCCCTTCTAGGGTTCTACAGTACCCTTACCGTATTATCAAGATTTTTGTCATCGCCGGAAGACCCATCCGACGCGTCTTCCATACGACTCTGCGTCTTCTGAATAATTCACACAGCTTAAATGAAGCTATTGTAACCCCACCTCAACTTCTAAATGGTCTCCTTCTTGGAGTTGACCAGCCGCTTCGTTCAGAGCGTTCGCAAGACGTTCAAAGTAGAGCGCCGACACTCTTTTGGGGTATCTTTAAAGTGCGGGCAGTTATTTGGAGTTGACAAGAAAGGAAACTTTGCGTAAATCGCGCCAAAATCTCGGAGGATGTCGATCGAAGAGGAAGGCTCTTTTAATCGTCGCATCGTCTCGATTAAAACCGTCACGAATCTCTAGAAATTGATGAAATGATGTTAGAATAGGCTATGAAGAAGAATTATCGGGGTTTTAACTACATGAGAAACAGATTCAGAACGTTTTTTGATTAAAAATTGAGGAAAAACTGAACTTTTTTAAAGAAAATTGGGAAAATTGAACATTTAAAAAATTTCTTCACTTCTCAGTTTCCAACTCTGGCAAAGTATTTAGTGGCCACTATAGGGTTTTGAAGTTTTGGTGGCCATTATAGTAGCCAAATTAGTGGCCACTTAAGGGATTAAAAATTAGTGGCCACTTTAGGGGTCGATGGATCAACATAACTGGTCCAATCTGCTTGTTTCAAGGTTATCAGAGTTACTGGAAGGAACAGTGGATGAAAACCTACTGAAGTGGCCCCTAAAACGGAAAAAAAGTGGTCACTATAGAGGTGGTTTTAGTGGCCACGTTAGTGTCCTCACCAATTTGCCCGTGTGGAGCCTCTTAAGTGGCCACTAGAGTTTTTCTTGGCAGAAAAGTATTCTGTTGAACAGTTTGACATGGTTTTTCAACTTCAGTTCGGTTTTTTGAAAAAGGGAAAAGATCTAGAAAAAAACTTTCAAACTGAAACTTAGGAAATTATTAAAAAAAGATGAAAGAAACGTTTTTTTTTCAACTTCAAATGAAATATAGACCAAAGCTTAATTTCCGATTTTTCTTTTCCCCAAAAACCCAAAATATTCTAAACAAGGCTCATTTCTTAACTAACTACAGCTTACTCAAAAATAAAAGTACAGAAAAATATTTAGATTTTTCCGTTTCTATGAACCCAGACCTGAAAAAAGCTTGATTTTAATCTTTTTCCTTTGAATTTAAACCCGAAAAACTTCCGAAAATGTGTGAAAAAAGACGTTTTTCTCAACTTACAACAGCTTTTTCAAAAATAAAAGTACAAAAAAAAAGATAATTTTTTGATTTTTCCGTTTCTACATGAACCCAGATCTGAAAAAGCTTGATTTTAACCTTTTTTCTTCCGATTCGAAGTCGGAAACTGTGGAAATGTTGCAAAAAAGACGTTTTTTTTCAACTATAAACAACTTGGGTATAATGAAAATTATAGAAAAATAGCTTAATTTTCGATTTCTCGTTTCAATTTCCACCCAAAAACTCCAAAAACCCCCTTGAAAACCGGCTTTCCCTCCAAGTTTATCAAGATAACTCCGATGCCAAGTCATCAATCTTCGAATTTACAACCGAAACCTCTCCCTTTGCCTCAAATGGCAACACCAAAAAGCGATTAAAAGGAGGAAGTGCAACGGGAAAATGTTCTTTTTCGTGTTACTCACAGGGAAGTTCGACCCTTTATTGGGCCGAGGGGAATCCGCTGGAGGGTTGCCAAATTCTCTTTCTATTTTCGGATTTTTTCCGAAAAAAACTGGACTTTTTGTTATTTGAAGAATATTTGTGAATAATGAAGTTTGGATGGAGAAGAACAAAAACCAGAATGAAGAAAAAATGAAGGGATCCCTTAAGAGGTAACGAAAGAAGAAGCCACTTCAGTGAAATTTGGAAGAAATCACTTTGAAGAGGCCCCTTTAGGGTATTCTAGAAGAAGAGTTTCACATTTTATAGGAAGTGACGTCTTCAGTGAAATTTGTTAGCAGTTTAGAGTGATCACTTAAGAGATCTTGAAATTGGAACCAGAAAAGGGCTCTGAATTCTAAGCGGCCCCTTTAGGGTACTCTTGAAGAAAAGGATCACATTTAATTGGAAATGGCCACTAAAGTGAAGTTTGCAAGAGATTCCGAGTGATCACTTAAGAGATCTGAAAATTGACCCTTTGCAGGAGCTCTGCAATCTAAGCGGTCCCTCCAGGGAACTTATTAAGAAGATTATAACTATTTCTGCAGTAAGTGACCACTTAAGTGGAATTTCCAATCAATTCCGAGTGTTAAGAGAGCCTAAAAATTAACCCTGAAGCTTTGAAGAACCTCTGCATTCAAAGTGACCTTTTTAGAGTACTTTATCTTTTTTTTAAGTGACCATTTCACTCTTAACTTTGAGTGAACGCTTAAGGGGACTTGAAATGAACCTTGGGATCTGCATTCTAAAAGTGGCCTCTTTAGGGTTTTTCAAAAGAAAGTCATCTCATTCTTTCAGGAAGTGACCAATCAAGTGAAGCAAGCAGCCGTAATTCTGAGTGATCACTTGAGAGAGCTTGACAAAAAGTTCGAAGTGACCGCTTTAGGTCTCTCGGAGTTCGAAAAAAACGCTTTTTTTCTATAGTTTGGACTTCATGAAAAAAATAAAAAAATAAGAATATTCCATTTTGAAAACCTGAATTTGAAATAAAACGATTTTTCGTTTTAATTTTTTAATCAATTTTTGGCAAATGAAATTTTTTTTCTTCGTTCGGAGAAACAGAAATGTCATTTTCATGTCTATTTTCTCTATTTTCTATCGTATTTAAAGAAGCATCGCTTAATTCTATAAAAGTATCGAGGCGGAGAACAATTTTTTATTTCGCTATTTCAAGGCCTCCTTTGAAACCTTTTAAGAGAAGGTAATTTCAAGCAAAAAACGACTAATTTTTAACCCGTTTCAATAGAATTTTTATGATTCCCGACACGAACCTGAACATGAATCTTGAAATTGATGTGGTTCCACCAATTGGGCTCGTTTTTCAACTCGATATACGCCAAATATTGCGGGTTGTCGGCAAAGACCTGCTCGAACATCCGTCGGCCCATCTCGTAAATCGTGCCTGGAAAAAGAGGCTTTCCACTCATTTTTCCTTTTATTTTTGGCGTTGAAAACAACAGAGCGAAAGATGAAGCTAGTCAAAAAACAATGCAAAACACGCGGTTGCCCTTTGATGAATGACGTCTTTCAAATATTTCTTTCAAAAGCTTCTTGAAACTTTGAAAGTTTTCCAGCTGATAAACTGGATTCTGTCTTTCTTGCCGAGGTATTTAGAAAATTATAGAGGAGTTTTATGGAGGTTACAAAGTAAAGAGCGATTATCAATATAAATACAATTCTTGAAAGAGTTTGGAGCCTTCAAATTACCCACCGAGAAAAATTTTTTTGAATGATATTACGGGTTAAAAATTCTCATAGTTTCAATTTCAAGTTCCCAATAATAATTTTATTTCAAATACAGAAAGAAAAAAACTGAGCGAAAATTGAAACAAACAAAAAAATCGACAGAAAAATTATCTTTTTTTCTAATATTTATACATTTTTTTCCCTATAAAAAAATAATTTTTTTCTCAAGCGAAAAATCTTTTTTTCCAATTGAACAACAAGCAGATAACGAGAAAAATATGTTCATTTTTATGTAGAAAATGAGAAAAAAATAAATACAAAAAAATGAAAAAAATAAATTCAAATTCATTTTTTTGGCGGCATTCGCAATAGAGCGCATTTGACGCTGTCCCTATTTTTTCAATTTTTTTCAACATTTTTTTTCGAATTCTCTTTGACCGTTCACTTTTTTTTTTTGCAAACCTCGATCCATCCGATTCCATTTCCGAGCCAACAACGCTTTCTGGTGCAATGTCAGGCCTGTTACCGGACAAACGGCCCGTCGGAGGCTTCTAAAATGTTTTTTTTTTCATTTTCATAAAAATTCCTGTTTTTTTTTTTGATTGATCTAGGTTGAATGAAGCTCATATGGATTTCTAGCTTCAAGAATAATTGTATCGATTCTAAAACCAACTTGTCCTTGTGTCGCGTCGTTCTAGATCTTCTTAAGGGTTCACTTGAATTACTCGGCCCGAGTCTTCTGTAAACTTATTGATTTTTTGGCGAAAAACTGGAAAAATAGTCAGACTGATACATTTGCATAGATAGAAAAATGAAAAAAACTGTTATTTTAACAAAATTTTCTTTCATTTTTTTGCAATTTTTTTTCTTGTTTGAAAAAAAATTGGTCATTTTTAGAAGTCTGAAATTTGAGATTTCATGTCTTATGTACAAACAAGGAATCATGCAATATTAGAAAAAAAATTCTCAATTTTTTTCTTTTTCATCTTTACACTTTTTCATGAATGTTAAGGCTTTTTTTCTAAAAATTTATCTGTTTTAAGGGGATTTTCTGTTCTTTTTTCTACTTGGAAGGTTCAATTTCATTAAATCAAAAAAATAACCTAACACTACTGCTTCTGGTTTGAACTGGCGATTGAGAACAAGTTCTTTTGTTCAGAGAAAGGTCGGAAGTCGATTCGCTGTTGCCCATTTTACTGAAAAGTGGTCAAAATAAATAAAAAAAATAGAAAGAAAACGGCAAAAAAAATCGAGGTCCTGGCTGGGATCGAACCGGCGACCTTCTGCATGTGCAGCAGGCGTGATAACCACTAAACCACAGTACCTAATAGAGCTCAAATGAAGTAAGTATGAAAAAAAGCTCCCTAACGATTCATTTTTCATTCGATTCGAATTTTGGTCATAGAAAATTCAAAATCCATTGAACCGTCAAAAGTGGGTTCAAAACATGGATTTTTTGTTCCCGGAAGTTGGTGGGAGCAAATAAATATAAAATGAAAATAAATAACACGAAATAGTAAAAAGAAGAAAGAAAAAAAAGAGACAACAGGGATTTCGGAGATGCATTTTAACGGTCCGCGAAGGAATGGCAAAAAAAAGCTATGTTCCGACCGGGATTGAACCAGCGACCTCCATCTCGTGATGCAGAAGTGCTAACAATGACACCAAAGGTATAAATAGAGCTTTAATAAGAGAAATACAATGAAAAGCGATTAGAAAGCTACCAGTCCGTTCGAAAGTTCGAAAAAGGAAATGGCAAAAAACGTGAGGTTCTGACCGGGATCGAACCAGCGACCTTTTCTACGCCAAACAGACTTGATAGCCACTACACCACAGTACCAAATGAAGGAAGTACAATAAAAATAGATTAAAAAAAGCTACCAGTCCGTTCAAAAGTTCGAAAAAAGAAATGGCAAAAAAAGCTAGGTTCTGACCGGGATCGAACCAGCGAGCCTTTCTTCGTCAATCAGACATGATATCCACTACACCACAAAACCCAATAAAGCCCAAATGAAGGAATTTCCGGAAAAAAACTACCAAACGGTTCATTTTCAATTCAATTTGAAATTTGGCTCATAGAAAATTCAAAAAAGCGTCCATTGAATCCATTGAACCGTCAAAACTAGGTTCAAAAAAGGAAGTTTTTGTTCCCGGAAGTTGGTGTGAGAAATGAGAATAAATAACACGAAATAGTAAAAAGAAAAGGGAAAACAGGGATTTCGGAGAAGCGGATATCAATTGAAGGCCGTCCGGAGGTCCCCCAGGACTCCCGCTGCAAAATCCGAAGAAGGGTTTGGCCAAGTGTCAGGTCAAAGCCGAGGAAAGGGAGAAAAACAAGGCCGTGGCTTTCTTTCAAGATTCCGCTGTACTTGTTGAGTTTTCTGTCTTTTTATGGAGTTGAAATTTCGGTTTTCGAATTTTGGAATGAAATTTGAACTTTCTTCCAAAAGAAAGTAGGAGAAGCTCTAAAAAGTCAATATTTTCGATAAACTTCGTCCCGAAAATATCTTCTGTAAAGCTCAAAAAATAGTCAGAAACATGGAAAACGTAATTTAATAAATATTCGCGGTGAAAACCAGGAAATTTACTTTGCCAAAATTCGGTACTGGATGATTTTTCCTGTTTTTCTGAAGTGGAAATTTCGGTTTTTGAAGCTTGCAATGATTCTTGAGAAGTTAGAAGATTTAGAACTTTAAAAAAATGTGTATAAGGAACAAATAACGAGAAGATATACCGATTTTGATATAAAAAGCTTGTTCTGAAGTAAAAAAAAACGTGGAAATCTTGCCGTATTTTGTAAGTTTCAGCCAGCGTCTATATCCAAAATGAATACAAAACCGAGTTTCATAAAAATTTCATTATCCTAAGTCACCTTGAACCGCTTTTGATTCATAATGGCCTCGAAAAACTTTAAAAATATTACAGCTCCAACCTCCTAATGATACCTGAAGCTTCAAAAAAAGATCAACTTCCCTAAAAAAATTGAAAAAAATATTTGGAAAAAGTGATTTTTTTCCAATAATCATTTTATAAAAAGTTTGAATGAACGAAATTTTTGTTTCTAGGGGCCTTTGGAAGTAAAAAAAGGCGAAAAAAATTGCAAAAAGACCTAAAAAAACTCGAAAACTCAAAAAAATGAGGTAAAAGTTATTGAAAAAAAGCTCATAGATTTTCGATACGCCCGTGAAAAATCCAAAAATCAGTTTTATAAACTCAAAAATCATATATTGCTGCTTCAAAAAAAGTTTCAAAATGTATATCATGAGCTTAAAATTTCAATTCACATAGAGTCTGCGGAAAATTTACAAGACAATTTTGATTTCAATTGAAACCCCTGACCAAGTTCAACAAGGCCAGACGGGCTGAAAAAATAGAAAAACAAAAAAAAAGGAGCAAAGTAGAAAGACTGAGACAGGAGCTTGAGAATAACCCGGATTTTCGGGCCAAGGTGTTCGGTTTCGGTCAACTCGAAAATTTTTCTTCTTCTTGGGTTTCTCTTGAACCTTACGTCATCAGGGAGGTTAGTCATGAAGGAATGTGGGATATTTTGACAGCTTTTCGAAAAATAACAGTGATGAAATATTGAAATAGAAGAAGCTTTGGGTGAGGTTCAAGAGGAGTTTTTAGGTTGAACTTGGGAATGGTTCAAAAAGTATATTTGAACTTCAAAAAAAGACCGGTCGAGTATCAGTTTGAATATTTCGTTTTTTTAATTTTAAAAATGGCTTGAATAACGTCCTGATTTAGGTATTTTGAGCTTAAAATATGTCTCACTTTGTTTATAAATCATGTGAAGAAGCTTGTGGGTGAAGCTGAAGTTCATGAGCAGTTTTAAAGTTGAAAACGGGAATTCCTGAGGTTCAAAAAGTACACTTTAACTTCAAAAAAAGACCATTCGAGTATCAGTTTGAATTTTTCGTTTTTTAATTTTATAATGGCTTGAATTAGGTCCTGAATTGAGATTTGAAAGCATATTGAGCTTGAAAAAAAGTCTCACTTTGTTTAAAAAAATCATGTGAAGAAGCTTGTGGGTGAAGCCGAAGTTCATGAGCAGTTTTAAAGTTGAAAATGTGTATTTTTCAAGACCAAGAACTTGAAAAAAAGTACTTTTTGAAATCTAAAAAAATGAATTCCAGACATCTTTATATTCATTTTTTTATTTTTTTCAAAAATTTTTTTACCATCCTAAATTTCGGCTCGAATAATTTTACTTAAGGTATTTTGAGCTTCAACAATGTCATACTTTGTTCAAAAATCATGTGAAAAAGCTTGTGTGTAAAGCTGAAGTTCATGAGCAGTTTTTAGGTTGAAAATACGTATTTGCGAGATAAAAAAATATTGAAAAAAAGTACACTTTGAAATTTATAAATAAAGGCTAGATACCTTTAAATCCAATTTTTTTATTTTTTTGAAACTTTTTACTAACCTAAATTTTTGACTCGAATTATTATTTTAAAAAGGTATTTCAAGCTTCAAAAAAATGTCATACTTTGTTTAAAAAAATCATGTGAAGAAGCTTGTGGATGAAGCTGAAGTTTAGGAGGAGTTTGTAAGTTAAAATGTGAAATTTTGAGATCAAGAACTCGGAAAAGTATATTTTGAAACTTTGAAGAGAAAAAAAACCAATGAAGTTCAAATTTAAATAATTTTTCTTTCAACTTCCTACTACGCTAAATTGAGACATGATTCAAAATTTTAAATATACTTTTAACTTGAAAAAATCATGATCTGATCAAAAATCCTTGCTGAGATTTTTAAAGGAGCATACGAAAATTCTATAAAGGTCTCGAAGCGAAGAGCAATTTTCCGTGTTATCCAGGGTCATTAAAGGATTTTGAGCTTCTAAAAACATCAAGGAGGGTTTTTTGAAAAGACTGTACTTCAAATATCGGAATTTCAGGCATTCAGAGAAAACTTTAAGTAAAAAAGGCTATTTTCGAAGCAAAATGAAGCCAATTCCGAGCCCCTTATTAGGACGAGAAAGCAATTTTTCTTTCATGAGAACAAAAAAATCGGCTTTTTTTCTGTTCTAAAGTGAAAAAAATATAGCTTTCAGAACAAAAAAATATTGGAAAAAAATGGATAATTTTTTTCAATTTTGGGCCCTCCCCCGCCCCCAGAAAAAAAGTTAATAATTTTTCAAATAAAATCATTATTTTTTTCAAGCCACTCGACGTCAAGGAAAAAAATTCAAAAAAAGCAAAAAGCTAGGAAGATTTTTTTGAGAAGAATGCCGACGGCTCCCGAGAGCAAGAAAAAAAGAGGCGTGGCTTCGAGGGGGAATGCCCCCGACTCCATTCCTGGAAAGTCATAATGAAAAACCATTTTTTTGACTTCTTGGGCTTGGGAAGGTATTAAAAATTCATGAGCGATAGCCTGGAAGCTCGAGAAAAGCTTCGGAATGAGTCAGGAGATTTCTATTTCATTAGGCTTCTTGATGAAAAAGTTTCTGGGTAACTTTTCCGAAAAAAATTGTACCCGATCTAGAAAAATTCCCTGAAACAAAGCTCAATTTTTGATTTTTGTCATGATTTTACGCTTGAATCTCCTACTGAAAAAAATTAGAACCTCTCAAAATTGTTGAAAAAATGGTCAGAGACCGGAACTTTTGAAAAAGTATATCGATTGATTGCCTTAAAATCAGCCTTGAAGAGAAAATGATTTCCTGAAAAAAATTAACAGGATGCCTAAGCCTAATAACTCAAAAAAAGAAGTGAAAATGTACAAAACTCGAAAAAAAAATATTTTTCTTAAATTTTCCTTGTTTTTACGTCTGGCATTCCTACTGAAAAAATTTATAACTTTTCAAAATTTCTGAAAAAATCGTCTAGATCTGGACTAAAAAAGTATATATTTTTACTGAAGGGCTCGAAATTAGCCGTGGAGCGCACATGTTTCGATCATCACGGCTATTTTGTTGAATTTTTTGAAAAAGTCCCTATTTTTTTTTTTTTGGTACCTTTTTCAAGCTTAAAGAGTAAACTCGGCTTTTTTTCCGATTAGTTTATTATTTTTTTCTAGAAAAACCGCTTTGATTTTTTTCAATTTCTATGATATTTTTTTCTTTGGAAAAATACTAATTTCGAGATTATTCATATAAAAAAAGTTATCCATGGAGCGCACAAAGCGCGGCTATTTTTTCCTACTCCCGTGTTTCATTTTTCGAAAAGCGGAGTCAACTCAAAGATCTGC